TCGAGGGGGGGTGGGGGGGTGGAGTGAGGGGTGACTGCGCGATTGCGCCTACCAATGCGTGTGCGTGAGTGCGTGTAGACACGCTGATTGATCATCCCCCTATCCGGCTCATCCCGACCCGGAGAATCCCGTCCTACCAGCAGATAACGATGCGTACGCGTGCCATCCCCACCGTGCTGGGTATATGTGTACGGAAAGAACGAGAGTCTCTGGCTCTCTCGCCCGGGAATTTACTACCGGCTGTGTATTGGCATTGCTACTGGTAACGAGGGTAACGGGTCTAACGGAGCTAACGAGAATAACGGGGGGTAACCGATGGCGATAGGGGCCGGAAGGATGTTTGGAAGACGAACGTCCGGGAGAGAAGGATTCTCTCGGATCGGAGGGGTTCGATTCGAATCCGCGAGGGTGGACAATACGGAGTCCGAGTAATGGACCGATTACCCCACCCAGCCGATCATATTGACGAGACTTTGATTAGGGTCGAGTAGAGTCCGATCCGATAGCAAAGTATCTATATACCGACTGCCGACTGTATTCCAGTCGCACAATCTGCTCTCTCCGTTTGCTCCTATTCGCCTTCCCATTACCGATCCTCCGTCTGACCTGGTTCTCTTACATTTTTCCATATGGGCTATACTTACGCTAGGTATGTTGTCGTTGTTGCAGACGCCTTCCTGAAGCAGCCGATCCCGAATCTCCCAGGCGAAGATCGAGGGACACTCGCGCTTGTAATCGGCAATTTTGTTGACCACCGGCGTCGTCGCCACGCGCGGTTTACTACCGCCGATCGCTCGAGGCTTGATCGAGCCCGTCTCGTAATATCTGTAAACAAACGGCACGCGGATACTTTCGAATTGATCTGATGGTCTGATCTTTTGTAAATACGGGTCTGGCTGTCTCGTGGACTTTTCCTACCTTACTCGTGACCTACGGAATTAACGGTAAAAACACTATGCGTGGAGATACGAGTCGGTAGGAAGATTTACGAGTTTGGGGGCATAGTCATATGTCCCGGTGGTAGAATTTTTATGGATCTCATAATGGAACTGCTTTGTGTATCCGATATGATTTTGACCTGTAAGATTACCTACCGTCCGAGAATCTTCGAAACGCAGCCATTGCTGACCTGAAGGATGCGCGAAATATCACAGGGTCTCGCCCCGCTATGGGCCAATTCCACGATCTTCTGCCTCGTGGAGTCGGGCAATGGCCGTCCATTGACATAAACGCCGCCGAGTTGATTAACTCCGCTGTGCCCTGCAGCCGAGCATCCAAATATTGAGTTCTGTCCGACCATAGAACCACCTCCGATACCCGCGCCACCCCCGTGCATCAAGTCCTCCTCTGTGAATCAAAACGTTAAGTGTACTCTGTCACTTTGGATAAACAACTATGGGTACACTTTAGACGGGACTGACGTTTTATTGTTCTTACGTAAATGGGAATGTCCTCGACTCCGACTTTTTTGCGACTACCGTCTGCCGTATGGTGACCAGTATTATTTTCAGGGCAATAAGACTCGTACGAAATACAACATTAATTCACGGAACACGATTCGATATTATACCGTTTTTTTTTCAATAATTTTATTTTTTCGATTATTCGATTTTTGACGCATTACGTAAGATAGCGATCCAAATTGCACATGCGTGGTTGGACGACGATAGCTTAAATTCAAGCTAGGGAAAATTTGAATGACGCAATGCCGGTTTGTGGTGTGTACAAAATCGAAAATTGTCCTTTTTCAATATATACAGATATACCGTATACGTGAATATGAAGAATTTTTAAATTCCATTTTTATTTCCATACGATATATTTTTATGATTTATAATTCGAAATTTTTTTGGAATATTTTTCTTAATCATCATTACGTTGATCGAACGATATTAAAGAAGGGGATATATTTTGGATAAGTTTCAGAAAGACATAATTATAGTTATCGTGATTAAAAATTTGCGAACGTTTAAAAAAGTTCTCGTATGTCGCACCTGTGCGGTCGGCGTGACGCTCATAAAGAAAAACTATAACGAGCAGCGTGTCGTTTCTCTTTGCAAGGAGATTCCAGCAAACTGGGCTAAATGCATCTTGCAATTAACAAATTTAATTAATCCGCAGTTTTGCCAGCAGTGCAACAAGACATAGGTTGGAATGTAATTTAAGCAGACTTTATGTGCGCAAACGAGTTGCGAATTGTGAGACGCGAAAACGCAAAGGCCGAAATGTGGAACGGCGACGTGACGCACTTCCCTATTTCGCGAAGCATCCTTGTTCCTATTTTCTTTAATATTCGCTATGCTCCCCCTATGTGAAATTGCGATTGCTTCCTTAAAAAAGAAAAAAATAAACAGCACAATTAATGTCAACTTGTCGCACTTTTCCTTTTCAAAACGGTCTGCTCGTATTATTTCAGCGTATCGCGTATTTATCTGCTGATCCGTCTCGACTCTCGTCCGTAAGACAGTCGATGCGGAAATTTTTAAAAACGTCGAAAAGACCACCGTGGGACCAAAGATCAAAATCTTCAGAGTCTACGAGGAAGGAACGTTATCCGTAAAACCATCGGAGCGATGATTAAAATTTTTTTTTTTTTCTTTTTTTTTGTGAACCCTCACCACCATTGACTAGGTCAGTTCCGCGTCATCCTCGGTCTCCTCAAGTTTACCGATACTTTGGGTTTAACTACAGAGAAGCCACTTCCGTCCACATCTAATTTCGCTCCATTGCACTCGTCATTACCGAAAGAAAAAAAAAACATTGAATACAGCGAAAAACGGGTATTGCAAAAATTTTGCAAAAAAACAAAAAACGTCTTTTCCCCACGGTTCACGAAATAAACCAGATGGCCAAACCACCGTTCGACCGTGAATCGTAAAATACAATGATCGCGTTGCTAGAAAAACGCGTACATTAAATTCGCCCCGTGAACGAATTCGCATCGTCGCCCCAGTCATCTTTATATTCCTTAATTATAATTTTGCGTTAATCTGCGCGAGGACTAGCAAAAGCAAGTCATGCCGCAAAGTGAGGCAAAAAGATTCCACTTGGCTGAGCGTGAAACGGGACACAGATTAAATCCCATCCTAACGGCGCACGACGTCGCGGCGCCCCTCGCCTGTACCATCCTCCTCCCCCCTTCCCCTCCGCCATAAGCCCCTCAACTCCCCTTACCCCCTCGCCCCGCCATCTCCTCTCTCTCCAACTCCTCGTCCATACCCATATCCTACGCATCGTGTCTCTCTCGCTCTCCTTCGTACGTACCTTCTCATTTTCTCTCGTCTCATGTCACTCCCAGCATCCCAACCCCCCCCCCTCCCCCCCAC